CAGATCAGCAAGGGATGCTCACTCCTCCATGGCACTTGATCCCACCTCTGATGTTTTAGAGGTCCGTGTTTGCTCTTCTCTTATTTTGTATTGTTTTATGGACTTTGATATTGAATATTGTTTGTAATCTCCATATCCTTCGTCGACCAAAGAACTTAAATTTGAGACTTTAAACACGCCTTCGGATATTCTTGTATCAGCAATTTGTCTGTCAATAACTCGCCTCCTTCTAGAAATTGTTCATACGTAGAGCATTCTATTACATATCAAATCAACTGAGAGATATAAACCCCGTTTACAGGTGATAAAGGTATATATTGCTGTTTAAGTAAGGGAAGCTGATTGATTGATAGTATATTGTTGTCCGTCTCTCTCGAGAACTTTTCACTCATACAGAGACGCCACCACTTGCCGATGGAGAGCTGCAAATTTTTTTAAGATCAACTTCTTCGCGATTCTATAGCAGACGCTGTAACCACTGCGCCAAGCGGGCGACGTAAGGGAAGTTGACGACTGAAAACAAAGTCATCACGGTTATCGTAAATCTTGGTTGTTAGATTACCATTAAGATCTCTTTAGCCTTTAGGTCGCTCAGGTGACCTATAATTGCTATCCGTTTTTGTATGCCGTCTTTTATATTTTAAACTTCTCTGAACCCGCTGAACCCGTTTCGATCAATTTTGGCCTATAGCATCTAAGGATGAAGGAAACAAAAATTGAGAATTTTATGGTCCCTGCATGCCCACCTGTTCTTCTTTACTCCTGAACATCAAGCACTCAAGCTGTTGGCATGATTGAAATGGAGCACTGAACCCTTTACCAAAATTTTGAAATTCATGGTCAGGCTATATAGATCATACAGTGAAGTTAGTCATTTCTTTAAAAATCTTCTTATTTGCCCTGGGTATTATTTAATCAAATCAAGTACATTGTTATGATATGCAAAGGAAGCCTCTTCCAAACTTGCGAAATTCATGTCCCCAGTCTCATGGGTTCTACTGAAAAGGCTGGGATTGCTCTATTAATTATATGGTGAAAAACATTTTATTTCTTTGACAGCTTCTGGATAAAACTCAAGGAAGCGAAATGTATTGTTACATGTATAGAACGAGTGCCTCTACCACGGAGGTGAATTTCATTACCCTTAGGTCAGATCTGCTTGGGTAACGGTGGAACTCTTGATAATATAGTGAAAATGCATTAATTCTATTAAATAATTCCGTCTTCTCCTGAAGTGAGATTGTTGGAAGGCGTGGTCTCCAAAGACCACATAGATATTGTCAATCAGAAACTCAAGCATCCTTTTAATATCAATTTCAGAGTATTTGTGTTTACATTCAGAATTTAGGATAATTTTCGTTTGATGACGTAAATGATTAATTAAAGTTTGATGACGTAAATGATTAATTAAAGACAAAGAAAAATTTAGAATAAAAAGCTCGATGAAGAAAATTCTAAAGTCAGTAGGTGCTTGTTGTTGAAATGTCTAACGTGCTAAATTTTATGTCCCACTGTTGTGTACTGTCTGAAAAGGCGTTGGGGGGAAATTGATCGAAAGTGAAATTAATGTATGTACCGCTGTTTCCGAGTTCAATAAAAAACGAAAGGATACCTAGATAATACTAGTGACACTTAATAATACTTGAATGATTTTTTAATCCCTAAACATCAAAGTAAAGGCCTGTATCTGTATTGATCTACTTCTGTGCTTGTATCGAAAATTCGTAAGCTGGCAAAGCAGCTTATATATTCCGTTTACATGCTTCATGTTATACAGAGCATCAAATTATACAATAAAACTGTCAACGAGAAATAGAAAAATGCTTTGATGTTACGCAATACATGTACTCCGATTATGTTATATTGTACAGTCAAAACAAATGTTGATCACCACAGAGCAAATACCTTTAAGCAATTTGATGTTTCATATCAATATTTGAATACTCACTATTTACAGCACATCATTACATACTGAAATGAAAATAAATCTTCCAATCATCAATGATTCGAGAATGTATACTACTTTACAATTATACAGTCTGAAAGCTTTACTAAACCAGAAGTTTCTGTCGAGACCGAAGCTCTACTGGTTTGTACTTATAATTATTAACAAAGGAAGAGAAAAGTAGCAGTTGGGATTTGAAACTTTAAAACAGCAATAAATAGAATAATGATTTTTGATTAAGTCCCCTTTTCTAGCAACACTGCAAGAAGATTACAACTCTAGGATTAACTTTTAATACAATTTTACAGAATTTTCAATTTTAGTTACCATGGCAACATCATTCATCAAAATCAAACAAAAATGACAATAATGTATATCAGTGTAGTCTACATGTATACCACATTATCTTATAATCAGACTAACACTGTATTTGGAGTAGCATTTTTTTAGTATTTTGTGAAGAAAAAAAATCTATTTTTAGAAGCCATGGCAACACCGTTCATCAAATCAATGTACCATAGCAGCGGTAATTTTCTTTTGATCTTAACTGTGGGATCTGTACATAACCATTGATACCCAATAGGCGTGGCAAAACTGCTACAATGAAATCATGACGTAAATCATTTGCATAAATTTCCAACTTTAATAATCATTGAAAAGGTACATTTTCCTGAACATTAATTAACAAAATTCACATACATTTTAGTCCGCTTTAAGAAATAAAATGAAAAAATAATACGTCGTCTCAACTTTTAAAACAACATGCTTTTCAACAATTTAAAAATACTTGACAGTTGTTAAATGTGTTTCTACACTCGCAATCTCCATCCTTTGGATTTTCAATTTCGTCCAAGGATTTTGCCTTTTTGCTGATCGGTTCATCTGGTTCCAACGCGTTGGAAATATCGCGTAGCATCTCCTAACTCGGACGCTTGTATTTGCGGACACTCTCAATAGATCTGTGGCCTGTACGTTCCATGATTTCCTGTTCTGGTACCCCGGCTTGATAGAGAGCGGTTGCGCAAGTGCGCTTACCCGAATGATTAGAAAAGAATCCGGGAATTCCGGTTTGTCACACATATTTTTCATAATTGTAGATAATTTGTTGATTCCAATGGGTTGTACACTGAAACGGACTTCGTTGTTTTCTCCATTTGCCAATGGTCGCCGGTAAAATCAGAATATCCGGAATCTGGTCGCCTGTTGTCAACATCCGAGCGGAACGCCAGTCGTTAAACGTAGTTACAGACCAATTTGTGTTCTTGCGGGTGCTCTTGCTTTCTGTCGAATTATGCAACTCTTTTAAATCACTGTCATTTACAAAATGTTCATAATGACCAACGACATCTTAGATCCTCCCTCCTTTTTTGTGAGCACATCAAAATCAACCGTGTAGTCCAATTCCATGTCATCGGGGCTGGGGTTGTACAAGTTGATCGCCTGAGATAAGGTGATGTTCTCTAGCAAATTTTTGCACTCAATCTCCTTTTCTATCTGCTCTGTTGCTTGCAAGAGAATAATGTCAATGGTAGTGTCTCACAGCTGCTCAGTTGCTTCCGAAAGAGTAATGTCGTCAATTTTCGTGTCCCAAAGGCTCCTCAAATCAAATAAACCCTCGCACGTATCGTTCATTTCCATTTCGCTGCTTTATCGCCGTCCGCATCAAATGACTTGTATGCGGGAAATGAAGCGCCGAAATTTTTTTTTGCACGTGCAAGTACCTCGCATGGCTCTGATACATGTGACTTAAACAATAGGTTTGAATTGGTTATGTAACCAACTAAAACCTATTGTATAACTACTACATAACCGATATAAAGGATTGTGTATCTTAGTGTTATCTACTTGCGTGCCAAGTTATATTGAAATCGGACCAAAACTGTAGGCGAAGTAGCATTTTGAAAAGATTTCACAGAAATTTCAATTTTTAGTAACCACGACAGCACCGTGACGACAGAACTATTCATCGAAATCAAAAATCAATAAACAGAATTATGTATCATAGTTAAGTCTACTTGTGAATCAGATTTTGATTTCGATAAACGATGTTGCCGTGGTTGTTAAAAATAGAAATTTCTTTGAAATCCTTTAAAAAATGCTACTACTCATACAGTTTTGGTCTGATTTCAATATAACTTGGCACACAAGTAGACTACACTAAGATACATAATTCTGTGCATGGGTTTTTGATTTTGATGAACGGTGTTGCCATGGTTACTAAAAATAGAAATTTCTATGAAATTCTTTCAAAATGCTACTCCTCCTACAGATTTGGTCCGATTTTAATATAACTTGGCACACATGTAGACTACACTAAAATACATAATTCTCTGCATCGGTCTTTGCTTTCGATGAATGGTGTTGCCATGGTTACTAAAAATAGAAATTTCTGTGAAATTCTTTCAAAATGCTCCTCCTCCTACAGTTTTGGTCCGATTTCAATATAACTTGGCACACAAGTAGACTATACTAAGATGCATAATTTTGTGCATCGGTTTTTATTTTGATGAGTAGCAAGAATCATTTTTCTCTTTATTGCTGTTTTAAAGTTTCAAGCCCCAACTGCTACTTTTCTCTTCCTTTGTTTGAAGTATAAACCAGTAGAGCTACAGTCTCGACAGAGACTTCTGGTTTTTCAAGTTTTCATTCATTTCTTCGAGATCTGGGATGAGGAGACAGACTCTACACTCGTCAAATCTAAATGATCCATAATTTCTATCTCAAACAGTTGAAATAGCTCTTAAACTACCTCTGGGCCACACATATCAAATTCTCCAAACTCAGCCATAATTTACATGTATAGGTCAAAGCAGACAAGTAGTTTGAACGTTAGGAATAATGTAAACTTTTTTTGTTAATATGTCAGTAAACATAAGTCTACATATGATAGATAGTCCTATTGCATGTAGATACATGTATCATATTGTACCATGTGATTTGGTCACAACATGACCTTGACTCTCCCCCCCCCCCCAAGTTTATACAGAATTGAACATGTCAGCTTTTATTATGTTCATATAAAAGAAAAATATCACAAATGTAATGTTATTTGCAGCACCTTGTCCCTATCGCAGTCTTCTCAACATGGATGTGACAAAAAATTCATCGATCTCTTTCCTTGAAATAGCGGCAGATATCGAATCTTGTAAAGCAGTCTGTGACAACATATTTACATCTGATAAAAGTTGCTGGGGCATACTGATTTCAAACAACAACACCTTATCATGCAATCTCATAATTTCAAAAGAAGCACCGAAAAGAAGGCCAGCAAATGGTTTCAATTTATACGTGAAGGACTGCATGAAAGGTAAACAAACGGTATGGGGGTATATTTTTATGTCTTGACTGCCCCTCTCAAAAAATCAGATATGAGAGTTTGGAATTTGCAGTCCCGTATTTACAATGCTAGAATTGTCTAGAATAAAGTTTGCGATTCAGTTTTTTAGGTAACTCAGGTGACCTATTGTTATCTGTTTTCGTCCGTCGTCGGTGCATTAACATTTGAACATTTTCAGCTTCTCTGCAACCGCTCAAATAAATTTAACCAATTTTTGCATTTAGCATGTATGAGTGAAGGGGAAAAATTTGTCAATTTTATGGTGTATACCCCCCTGGGGTGTGAGGGGTGGAGCCAAAACAACTGAATTTAATGCTGTCTTTAAAAATCTTCTTTTTTTCTGGACCTCGAGCAGTCAAATTGTTGGCATGATTGTAATCAAAATTGAGTCCTCTACTAAAATTGTGAAATTCATGGCCCCAGGGCCAGGGGTTTTAGTGCTAGGGCGGGACTAAATAGATTATATAGAAAAAATGCATTATTCCTTTGAAAATCTTTTTCTTTGCTCCTGGGCATTAAATAAACTAACCAAGTACATAGTTATGTTGATTAAGGCTGCCTCTACAAAAATTGTGAATTTCATGGCCCCAGGGTCTGGGGTTCTAATGCTAGGTCGTGGCTCTATTGATTTTATAGTGAAAATGCATTAATTCTTCTCTGTTCGAGGGTATTAAACAAACTATAGTTACAATGAGCAAGATTGTCTCTTTCCAAATTGTGAATTATATGGCCCCAGGTTCAGGGGTTCTGGTGTTAGGCGGGGGGCACTATTGATTATATACCGGTAGTGAAAATACAAGAAATCTTAGAAAATGTTCTTCTTTGCTCATGGGTATTAAGCAGATGAACTACCTGTGTATGTATTCCTCCAGAATTGTGAATTTCAAGAGCCCTGGGTCATGGGTACCATAGAGGGGGGGGGCTCTACTTGTATACTAAAAATGAATTAATCGTTTTAAACCTTCTCCTTGGTTATTAATCAAACATTTTTGATAAGCAAGGATGCCGTTTCAAAAATTGTGCAATGTATGGACCTAGGATCAGGGGTTCATGTGTGGTAGGGGCGCTAATGATTATTGCTGAATATTACTGATTAGTTGAAATACATTTTTGTTCCCATACCCTGTCTATGGGTATTAAGTAAGCAAACTAAGCAATTGCTAAGTGTATGGTTATGATGAGCAATTGTGCCTCTTTCAAATTGAAAAAATAACTTCGTCCTGACGTTTCAGACCGAAGTCGGATGATTGATTAACTTTGTTTTGTATTGAATACAATTTTTGACTATCACAAAAATCCCAAAATATTTGCCAAAGAGAATTTACATAAATATTCACAAGGTACTTAAGGTCTGTGTAAGGAATTTTAAAAGGTACATATTCATATTGAAGAGCAGATTTTGCAGCAATGTCAGCCTTGTTATTACCGGGAATACCAATATGACTTGGAATCCAAAAAAATTCGACATTTTTACCTTGTTTAGCAAGATGATGGAACTTATTTAATATATCCAAAATGTACGGATGATCAGTGTTCATATTGTGTATGGACTGTCAACATGAAAGCGAATCTGAAAATATTGTAAAAGAGTTTTTATCCGAAGTTTTAATATATTCAAAAGCAAGTTGTATAGCTTTAGCTTCAGTCGTAAAAATTGTTGCTTCGTTTGGAAGTCTTACAGAAAAAACATTTTTATTGACAATCCGACTTCGGTCTGAAACGTCAGGACGAAGTTATTTTTTCAAGATTAAGAATTGGACATTCAAGGTTTACCCCTTCCTATTTACTGAGCGGGGAACATCAACCTGAATGCATATCTTGTGACTGTGCCATAACTTTAAATCATATACTTTTAGAATGTTCTGATTTTACACCTGTTCGAAATAAATTTTTCAATGGTGTTAAAACAATGCATGATCTTTTTTTCAAATGTGACTCCAAGTGCAATTTTACAATACTTGCAAGAAACAGATTTTTACAATAAGATTTAAATGTTAATATTTTTATAAGCATGATTATCTTTGTATATTTGAATTTAACTGTTTTTTAATTTTTAAATTCAAAGTCCGTCGGATGGGACGTTAAATGGTGCCCCGTGTCAAGGATAACAACCCCCGTGGCACGTAAAAGATCGTTTCTCTGGAGTTCGAAAAAGAGTAGGCTCATTGGGGGCCGCCAGAGAAACCAAAAACTTTCAAAACCGTTCATACAATATTTAAATTACTCCGCCGAAATATGGCTGAAATATTGCCGACTCGGCGTTAAAAAACAATAATCAATCTTTCAAATTGGGAATGTTATGGCATCTAGCTTAAAACATGAACCAAATTCAATCATTGAAAAGTTGTGGCATGATGCTCAGGTGACCTATAAGACCCATGGACCTCTTGTTTCTTTCAAAACTGAAAAAAACTTCAGGGTTAGGTGCAAAAAAATAGGGTAAGTTGGGTATCCGGAAACAAGACTATTATATTTTTTGGCACAATGGAACTTATTCAAAACCCCATCCCTGGTAGTTGTCTGATTATTCGTTAATATAGAAAAATGTTAATGAGTAGGATCTAGGAAATAATTAAGTATCTTTAGCTCAGAAGTCCATTGGAACAACACAAATCGCTAGCAGAGCACGTAAATAAATGAGTAACTAAACGTTTTTCTTTCATTTCTTATCCGGCATTTTGAAAAAAGCCTACCGAGTAGCACTTAACATTGACTGACAATTATTCTCTTTGCAGTAAGTGTCGATAACACTACAGTCGCTGTACAAAGCAGAACAGAGGCATATCCTGTTTCTACCTGTCCTGTGATTGATAATGTCGAGGGTAGGTAACATTACATACAAGAGAATAACGTTATGTTTGGATAAAGAATGAGTTAGGATACGGTTATTTTATCTGAAAGAACAGAAAAACATGCAAAATAGGGAGGAAAAAACATTGTAGAAAATTAGCATTTCGTTGTGATTTATATACATGTAGATAAGAAATATGTTACATGTCTTCAATAGTCTGATTATTTTAATAAAGAACGATATAATTGATATTAACTGTGATTTTCTTCTTAAAGTGAATGTACTATCTTAACTACATTTCACGTGTATACTTTATTATTTTAATTTTTTTTTGGGGGGGGGGGTTACCACATTGGGCCAGGATAAACTGAATCTAGAAACAACTGAACTTACAAACTTTTTTCTCCTAGTGATTCTAGTTTTCCTTATATGAACAGAATTTCAATTTATTCAATTGAAGGGCTTTGGCTATTGGCGTTTTCCGAAGGGAGATAATCATGAATGAGAGAAAAGCCCCTCTCGATACTTTTTTTTTATCTTTGGAGACGCCACTGCTTGCCGATGGAGAGCTGCAAATTTAAATCTATACTCATCACGGTCATTAACGATGAGGAATATTTCTCGTGCAAACTTTACTGCGACATGGGACCTCGCTTTATACGAGCGCCTGCTTTTAAGACCGCGGATAAAGGAACTGAACCGTAATTAAGTCCAGCTTCGAATCTACTGCGGGACGTGCAGACCAGTCCTTCGGATTAGACCGTATTGACCGAGGTTCCGTATCACAGAAGTTCCTGGCACGAAAGAGTCCATCGCTGCTTATTGTGCCGAGTATAGGTCAAAATATGCAGCTCTCCAGCGGCAAATGGTGGCGTCTCCATATGAGTGAAAAATTCTCACGTAGGACGTTAAACAATCAAACAAAATTAGTCGGCGGCGCAGTGAATTGATAGAGCTCCTCCGGAGTCGCGGAGTAAGACGTCGATCCTTACGTCTCGGATTGGAATCCCAATGTGGGACGTGAAGACCAATTCTTAGGTGTTATGGTATTAACCGAGGTCCCGCGTCGCAGTAGATGCTGGTACAAACAGATCCCTGACTGCTCAATGGGGCCAAAATAAAAAATACCTTTGTTTCCCCTAACGCGACCGACCCAATTAAATTGTGCCAATTGAAAAGATTTTTTAAATAAGATGATTCAAATATTTTTTTTATTGTTAACTAAGTTTTATAAAATACAATTTCATAAAATCAGTTTTTATCAGAACGGCCGACATTTTTCAACTGAGATTTTCAAGCATTTGTTGGAAACAAAATGGCGCCCAGATGTGATTACAGAGAATTAGTTCTTCATTAAACAACGGCGACGTCTCAATCTTATGCCTTTAGCAAATCAGAATTCTTCACTCTTGAAACAATTCGATAATAAAATTTACCATGACTAATTAAGAGTGTTTCGGACGTGTCTTGGCGTCTCCATGCGAGTGATTAAATTTTCGAAAAGGACGTTAAACAACAAACAAACAAACCTGTCTATTGAATTTAAGGGGGGACCTATGTCCGAAAAGTCTTTGTGTGAAATTTTCAAGACTTTAACATTTCTTTCCTGACCACTTGCTCTTAATTTTTAAGTATTAAAACCAATACCTTTATATGCTTATTTTTACGGAAGAGCACGTGCAAAAACAGTGTGAAATGCTAAAAATAGACTATTTTCAGACATTATTGTTCTACTCCAAATATGCGCTAAAAAGTACCAAAAATGTCAATCACATTCCAAATCAACAGGTATTTATTTCATATGACTTCTATCTTTAAAATGAAAGCAAATTCACTGTAATTCATCTCGCATGAAAAATTATCAAGGAGCACAATGCAAGTATCACCCCGTTTTTCTTGTCGTATTTTTTACAATTCCGACATGCACTACAGGTAATATCTTAAAAAGTCTTTGTGTGAAAATGTTGTAATTCATATTTTTTGAAAGAAATGACCCCTCTCTTTATTTTAACAAGGAAAAAAGTATACCTTTATGATAAAAGAAACGAGAAATATGACGTTTTCATTTATTTTTGTACTCTTCTGTCATAAATATTGACCTATCTGCACTTAAAAAGGGTAAGTAAGCACTGACAAACATCTGAATATAACACTATTTGGCAAAAATCGAGTATTTTGTTTTGATTAGAAATAATCTAAACAGATTAACTCTTTTCTTCTTCATTCTAATCATTCTGTGCCCCCCCCTTCCCCATTTCCCCGCAACAACCAACACCTAATAGAACCCAGGAATGACTTTATACACAAAATATCTACATATACTACAAATCAATAAGTAAATATACGTACAAGTACATTTCGTAATTATTTTTTAGTTTTATCCTGAAAATATTGTTAGTGTTAATAAACATAAAATTTAAACATATTTCTCTGATTTCAGCCGCTTTCTTTAGTTGTTGAATTTTATTTTATATTTTTCGCACTTTTATATCAGTATATCATGGAGGTATTTCTTTACAACTGAAATTGCTATGAATCATCCACCAAAGGAAGAGAATTTAAATATTAACAAACTTCATAAATCAAATAAAATGTTATAAATGATAATTTTTTTTGTAAACTGTTACTGTACGTGATTGATTTATAACAATGTTATGCCTATAATCACAGTTGCAAAAGTCAGCGGGAAAAAAACAAACGTCGCTATTGTGACGTCACATAATGCTGCTTTGACGTAGAACGACATAGATCGCCCCTTAAGGTACGCAATACATGGTGAGGCCCACCTTATGAGCAGGTGAGGGGCATAGGCTACCTAGTAATCACATCATTCAATTTCAGTGCATTTTATTTACTTTGAATTTTAATAACCGCCATTATGGAACCATAGGATTTGTTGTAAATATGTCTGCATATTCATCCTGATAAATCTAATTCAGATGTGCTTTCTTCATACCTTTATTTATGGGTTAAACTTCGTGGCTATGACACTGTATATAGCATTTTTATCATTTGTAGATTCGGTTCGGCTCAATTAAATATTGTTTACATACTTTTCCAAATAGTTTTGAAATTAAGATTCAGCTACCTGAAACATCAAGTGTATTTTTCTTTAATTAGGCCCTTGAAGATTGGTTGCTTTTTTTGCTTTTAATCCCTTCGAGATTTGTTGGAACGACATTTGAACATTTCCCCATTGCTCCAAATTTAGACGTACTCAGCTTTTTTTGCCATAAAGCAGTGGGGGATCATTTTTGAGCTAGCATATTCAGACCGTTTTCAACGTTCCTCATTAGGGTTTGTACCTGCGTCTTAAAATTAGCCACTTCTGAACTCCAAAGCAAAATGCTCTAGAACCACTGCAAATCTCATGGCCCTCAAAAAAGTACATTGATTGTCTATAAGCACTGGAGACATATACTCGGATGTCGGTCTTTGCGTATTTGGGGATCTTGTCTTTTTTTATTCGATTTATATAAATGTACTCTGGCGTGAGATATTTCACAAGTTCAACTGAATAACAGTCGTGAATTAATAAATCTTGAATTTGGGTTTTATAAGGCATATGTATAATACCTAGTATTTTGTTCACAAATCGCTTTCTTTTGTACTTTTCTCGTTTATAAAGGTAATTTTCCATTAAATTTTAGAATGTATTTTCAAAGCTGCTGTCAGAAAAAAAATTGTTTACCTACCTACCGACCCAACTTGAGAATTTAGGGTCGGGTTAGGGGAAACAAAGATTTTTTTAATTCCGGCCTGTCCCATAGTGTCGAGTATATGTCAGAAAGCAGACCTCCACCGGCAAGTGGTGGCGTCTCCATTTTAGTGATTTTTTTTAAAGCGGTGTTAAACACAAACAAACATTAAAACTCAGTGCTCTAATGGTTTCGTTTCATTTCTTTTTGTAGAAAACACCACGGTCATTTCATGTCAAAATCTCTTAAAAAGTACCTTACCATCAACTCCGACGAGCTCAGATGTGAATTTGGATAATGATCACATCACCACAGCTTTTAATTTGGATACTCAGCAAGAACTAATATTAAGCATTCGCAATATAAAGAACAGCCTGACGGTAAACAAGTCGGAAACCAGTACGGAGATTCGTAAGAAGATTAGTGTGTACGAGAGTAGAACTAGCGCCGTGTCTATGGGTCTCATTGGGACGATTGTCATTGTCTCAGTGATACTGTTTCCGATCGTATCAGACCTTGCATCCTTCATTCAAAGACGTAACAAAATAACAATTTAAAAAATAGTATTTCAATGCGAGAGAATACTTATTCTGGCAGAATGTTTATGCAACAAACACCATTCGTAGGCCATACGAAAATGGCTAGTTGGCTGTCAACTTGTCATGAACTGAAACAGTTAACAACTAGAAGTTGAATGCTTTTGTGAAAAGCTTTCAACTATTTTGCATAAAATGGTCAGTTGACTATTCATCGAGTTGACCATTAAAGTTGAGGGCTAATGCTTTAATAAGAATTCCTGCTGGAAAAAAAATTATACTGATGAACACTGCCTCTACCATAGTCCGAAATATCTGACGTTTTCCAGGCTTTTTCACGATTTTGATTTTTCCTGGCACATAAAATATAGAAATCGTTCAATGGCATTGAAAAAGTCCGATATTTTGGACTACCTCCACCAGTGTTAGGTTAACTAGGAATTAGAAATTTTTGTGTATTTTTAGAAAGTTTGGAAAACTGAATTGAAACTTTTATTTTTGATGATAATTTAAAGATTTGCCTTTCTTTATATTTTTCTGAAAAAATATTGGAAAGACATAATACTATAGCTGGTATAGACCCTTTCAAGGTTATTAGCCGCCATCTTGGATTGGGGGCATCACGCGACATCGTAGCTAACGTAAACAATGGCAGCTGATGCAGAAGCATCGCATCAATGTTCGTCTAGCGATCGCTTCACAGTCATTGTCATTTGAAACTGAATGTATACGTATTGTAAGCAACATATTTTATTCTAAAAAAGAACATTTTCTTTAATAATAAGTGTTTATTTACCTTAAATGAACTGCAATATTACAACATGCATCATGTAAAACGTGCGGAGATAGAGTGTTTATGTTACGCTACTATCTATCATCTCGTACAATTTAAGCATAAAATATTTGTGAAAATCAAAACAAAAGAAGGTTTAAGCATAAAAACACTCATTTACATTTTAGTTTTTACTTTGATGATTTTTTAAAAATTAATTTCTTTTATATCGATACCACTAACGCGGGCGGATCCAACTGAGAATATTGAGAAGTATTGAATGAATAAAAGCTCATAAAACATCTGTAGATAGACCAATATACTTAAAAAATATTTATTTTAATATAATGTTTTAGATATTTTGTTGAGACAACTTTAAATATATGTTTTAATTAATTAAATATTAACTATGTGTAATATTATAGAATGATTTAAAAATATGTTGCATACATGTGTATATCAATATCAAAATTGCAACTTCAAAGTAAATAATTATACAAATTTATTTAAACAGTAATTTTTAAAAAATAATTTTAATCATACAAAAAAAAAATTGTCTGTGTCATGTGCACTGTGTGTGTAAAATTCTGCTTAACTTTTAAAATTATTAAAATAAGGTGAACCATGCTATTTACAATTTTGGGGACATTTAAAGCTATACAAGATTTAGACTGTGTATTGACATTGAAAGTACTTCAACAGTTATAGCTTCTGATAAGTGATGCAAAGTCTCTGATTCGATACCTGGTTATCTAATAATAAATTTCATCATTAACATTTATTAAAACATAAAAAAAAAATTTAGTTTACCAGATATGATACAAGAATCCAAATACCTGTACACATGTTCATGTACTGAAGACCTTTCCTTTGTTTAGCACTTCATTTTGTTGATATGATATTTCATCCATCACTTGTGTATATTTTTGTAACAATACAATCCGACTTCCCTGTTTCTATTTCATGCACATCTAACAAGAAGTCTGTGAGTCAATGCTCACCAATCAAACCCCTGCTCTGATGTGAATATACAATACATGTATTATATTATCAATAAACTGAAGTTACAGTTACAGGCAGATGCACAGACCAATAGGAAGTTGACATCCGATTCATAGAAAAATGAAATCCCACCAAAAGGCATGCCTCAGCAAAGAATGTGCTAAACTTTGAAGCATCTGTGATGAGTAGTTGCTGAGAAAACTGCAACCAAAAATTTGTTTTGGACAGACAGACGGACTGGCACACACGAGTAAAACTGTATTCCCTCTCTCCTTTGGATGGGGTATAAAAATAGAATTTATACATCCTATGTTTATTTTCATTACTTATACATACACTGTATATGAAATCTCAGTGATTGTATAGCTGCGGAAATATATAATTCAATTGAGAGAAAGGTCTCAGAAGTACTGTAGACAAAATATCTGGCTTATATTCCTCATGAAAAAATTTAAGCAGGTATCCTACTCTTTCTTAAGCATATTCATTTTGAATATAGTCAAACTATTTTTATGATTGAAGAAAAAAAAAACAAGGAAAAATAACATAGTATCTTTATCAATCAGTCCGACAATAAGTGAAAAATTTGCATTCAGCAGAAAACAAGGAATTCCTCAATATTCTTTTTGTATGATCATTGTACAACAATCCCCTACTCTCCCCCTCCCCTAAAAAACTGTGTGTATGAAAAAAATTACAAATTTAGTGAAATTAGATTCTTTGATTCACTCATCAATGGATCACTGTATAATGTTTAGCAATTTATGAAGCAGACATGAATGAAACTATATGTGGATTGTGGTGTTACCATGTACCCCTCAATAATTAAATCCAATGGATACAATATGTACACATCACACAATACAATAAGCTTATCTATACAGTTGTCGTGTCCCCCCACTAATTAATATGAACATTGTTTTTGTTTGTCAAAACATTAGTTTTCAGTTGATCCCGGCCCTCTTCCTTCATCACCCTGAAATTTCTTCAACAGACCTGGCAGCCAGATCTAGGGCTCAATTTTAAAATGTGGGTAAATCACATTCATATTTAAAGCACATGACATTCCAAGGATCACGTGCTAAAGAGAGTCAAGTATTCTCAATTGAAAACAATTTTACATAATGTACAAATTTATTATTTATTACGATTATTACATGAATTTTTACAAGCTGAAATAAAAATACAAGTTTTAATATCATGTCATTTTTTTTTCTTTCCCTTTAAATAGCTCTTATTGTAACAACTTTGAAAAAAAAACATTCATTTGATTCTTCTGAGTATACATGTAAATATATGCAAAGACATTGCATATAATAAAGTAAGTACGATAGGTATTTACATTGTATTTCAAATAGTTGTAATATAACATGTATAACGTGTTCAAGAAATATGTCAGTCTACAAACATCTTGGTCAAATTGGTAAAATTAAAATATCCATGGCAAATTTAAACTTTAATATTTAGTTGAAGCTAAGGCCATTCCAACTTTTTTCTCTGTTTAGTGTCCACCCATATTTCAAAAACCTAGCTACCTATTCGCTAAAAACACACAGGTACAAAAAAAATAATAAAACACATATTTTATAGTAATATAAATGACATAATTCAAAAGATATGATTTCATTTCTCTAATTTTCATAAAGAAAGTTATTTTCTTTAGCAAAATCAAGGCATTAAATACTAAAACTATTCCAATAATGAAAAACATGTATTATACAAATATTCAGAGATATTGCTGGAAATCAAAAAAAATTTTTTCTGACATGGAGTGTCAAAAACCAAGGCACACGCAGACACTAAACATAAAAAAAAAATTGGAATGGCCTAATCAGTATTAATAAGTGTACTTTATCTTTCAACAAAAATATATGTACATGAGCGTTATTCTAAAGTTCATAAAAAATTGTCCTAGCAAATTCAAAAGGACAATGTAAAGCCCTCTCTCTTTCAGTTTCTATCACAAAATAGACTGTATATGATTTCTCTACATTTAATCAAGATGAGATAAAATCCATGCATGGATATCGTGACTTTTGATTATTGTTATCCCATACGAGTCCAACAGCTACATGGTAGGGCTGCCGCAGTCTGGATTTGAATTGAGGATTCTTCAAAATCTGTAATGAGGAGATTATACATTTTAAAGGAGTAGGACCAATATTCTTCAGAGTTTAATATCTATGATTTTATCAGATAGAAATCTGTTTTAACAGAAATAGCACAGAGACTATCATTTATGATAATTAAGTATAATTTTATAAAATGATTATAATAATGAATATAAAGGCATTTTGAATCTACAAGTGGTTTCAAATCATTAGAAATAGCCTTGATTTATTAAACAGTTTCAAAAACCTGCAGCACATTTCACACATTTCTCGACATCTTTCTCAAGATGAGTCATTCAATTATTCAACATAACTGCATTTCAAAGCAAAAATTGCAATAAAGCTAAACAACTTGATCTCCTTTAAATTTGAAATATGTAGAGTTAAAACTTACTTGAGGCATATACTGTTTATATTGCCATGCAGTGTTGAAAGAGCACTCTTCTGAAAAAATAGATAGGTACATGTAAGCATGTATAATTAAAAAAATTTGATAATTTCCTAACGAAATATCTTTGATAATTTTTAAAATCATTGCTGTTAAGTAAGATTCATATATTGTAAATATTCATTTCTTAAAACTAAATATTTACAAAATAAAGATTTGCTTTGCAAATTTGAGGAAGAACTTAGCATATTACGAATTAATTATGTTTGTAATTTGGTGGTATTATGTCACAATGTTACTATATTTATCTACTTTTTGATCCAATTTTATGGGCTTTTTATAAGTTTACAGATGGAACAAAAAATGCATCATTTTTATTTTCAAACCTTTAAAATCCTTTTTTTAATTTGAATACATGTATTTACACAAGGATTCACTTTAATTTCAAATAACATGGTTTGAAAGCACAATGACATGTACGTCCTGCTACTTACTTCATGTACTTACTTCGGCCTGTCGTTCTATGAGGAACATAGGCCATTGACGACAGTCCTCCAACGAACTCAATTTGGAGCTGCTTTAGCTGCATCCTGCCTTGTCAAATCCTGCGTTTTTAACTCTGACTCCGAGTCAAGCCTTCAGGTGTTTCTAGGACATCCTCTCTTCTACAATAATATTAAATTGTGTAAAATTGCACAATTTTGCTTCATATGCATGCACCATGGATATTTTTTCTGGAATAACTATACATGAATCAATATTAAAATCCTTTTGGTTTCCTTTTATTTCTTTTTTTTATTTATTTTATCATGTTTATTTCTCCTTGTTTAATTGACTGAACATGAATTTGAGGATAGTCATACCTTATTTTATGCATGTAAAATATTTGCTAAATTTATGTACAGTGTATTTTAAAATATATCTAAATTTCACTCAATTTTAAATTTTTCTGCAAATAGCTATAGCAATATTCTTAATTACAATAAAAGTATTCAAAATTGCAGTGATGAAAAAAAAATATTTTCATGGGGAAAAATACTTTTTTCAAGGTGTCTTTATATCTTTCATATTTCTTGACACCCTTGTACATGCAAGAGTTTCTGTATAAACAATGTCAATACTAAACCATGAATGACTAGTAATATAGTAAAGTACAGTGAATGTGTAATGAATCAATGACACTTAATTTATATGTATAACATACAGAATATAATTTATTTTATATTATATTAATTATATTAATTAAAAATAATGTTCAACCTTGGATATTGTTCATTAGAACTCATCTT